TTTTTTTTTTTTTATCTGGACAGTTTTGATCATGAAATGATTTTCAACTGAACCGCAGCTTAATCTTTTTAGCACATGTTCTGCTTTTAAAATGTCTTTGCAAAAACACTGTCTCTGCATCAACATCTGCTTATCGCTTTAATTTTAAATGCGTTTTCAGAAGGCCAAAATAGCATGTTTATCTTCGCCTTTAGCATCTGCAGCAGACATTGACATATTCCCCACTATCCTTACAGATAAAGAGGTGAAGCTCTTCTAGGTTGATGATGCTGATGCTGATAACCCCTCTGGTTCTGTGCTGTTTTTATCAGACTGCTGCTTTAAACTGATGTTGTAGTGAGCTGTGCTGCTCACAATCATTTCCACCTCTGCGGCAGACCAAAGACAAGCAGAAACCCCTGCTTCCTCCAGCACTTTGCCCTTCTCTCTCAATCAGACCGGAGCTGACGCGCGTCTGCGCATCTGATGCACATCTCATATGCGTTTCTCCATTTGCAGAACACGGTGGCCATCGCCTCCATACATTTCCCGCTGGCTACCCCTCGGTCTGTGGAGAACTGCACCTGTAAGCTGCAGCTGATCGTCTTCCGCAATGGAAAACTCTTTCCGTGCACGGGGAATTCGTCAAATCTTGCGGACGATGGCAAGCGCAGAAGCGTTTCGACACCAGTTGCGTTCACCAAATTAGGTAAGGCTGCGATTTTTCCCATGCATTCCATTCGTGCATCCAATACACCACTGCGTTTCGGCAAATAAGTGGTTTGCAATGGAATATTTTGTCAATAACGTCACGTGCAATTATGAGAAAGCATGCGCGTTGCAACTGTTGCAATTGTGCACGAGTTAGATTAGACTTGTTTGCGTGCGCAGTTAAGCTCATTTGTTAAATTCTGAGATGCACATCTCCGTGCGTGTGCGTGATTGCATGCATCAGCTTCCATATGGATGCAACACTTGAGGACTCTCCACTCGTGTCGTTACTTGACGCAATGTGTTGCTCTCCTGTGCAGATGGGTGTAGCCCCGGGAGCCCCGTGCAGACGGTTACCGTCGCTCTCCGGCACTTCTTGTTGGGTGTAGACCCCACCGCGGCATACTGGGATTTTGACCTGCTGGATGGACACGGCGGCTGGCGCGCGGAAGGCTGCCACATAACGGGCTCCGCGCACAACACGACCACCATCCACTGCGCGCACCACAACAACCTCGCCGTGCTCATGGTAAGAGTCTCCCGCTCGTCAAAGTCAGATTAGAGCTATTGTGGAGGCGCAGAGCCAATGAAACACGGCGAGCATGCAAACAGAAGTGCTATAGTGTGAATATTAGTGTTGCAAGGGCGAATGGTGTGAGGTATGGATGGGCGCACGTGATAATGAGGTGTAAATGACAATTGACGAGTGCGAATTCAATTCAGTTCAATGCACGTTTATTTGTGTAGCGCTTTTTGCAATGCGTGCTATTTCAAATAACAGGTGCATTTCAAAATAACACTTCAGTCAAGAAATCTCCAAGAAATATGTGCTGGACTGCTGTTGGACTATCTATCGTATGGAAGCAAATGCAATCAAACAACAATCCTCTAATGCCGCCTTTACACTGCAAAGCAGGCTCAGAAGCGGCTTATACATGTAGAAATGGATTTAGTGTTTAATTCTGCACATTCTGCACAGAAATTAAAAGTGCACAAATGATGTCATTTTAAATATTAAAATATGAATCTAGAAACATGAAAAAACAAAGTAAATGTATATTTAAAAATAAGTGTACAATTAATGTCATTTCAATATGTTTTTAATAAATGACACAAAATAAAAAAAAGTATTTATAATTTTTATATAAGTGCACGGGTAATGTCATTTAAATATTTTTAAATATTAAAATATGAATCTAGCAACATGAAAATACAAAGTTCTACATAAAAAAATATTAAAAATGAAAATGCACAAATAATGTCATAATGACAATACAAAGTTAAAAATAAAAATATATATTAAAAAATTAAATAAGTGCACAAATAATGATGATTAATGATTTAAAAATGAATGATTTTTAAATAAGAATATACAAACATGAAAATAAAGTTGTAAATAAAAAAAATTAAGTGCACAAATAATGTAATTTTGGCAACCGCTAAGTTTAAGGCAGCTCTGATACTGCATTGCTTTCGACAGATGAAAAGCAGCATCAGAGCCGCCTCTCTCGAGCTGCATGTTTTATTCCTGCTTTTATACTGCATGGGGTCTATCCACAGAATTTGGAGCAGCTTTAACTCACTCAGTAAAGGCGCTGCAAGGGTCAAACAAGATCCTTCAGGATAAACTGAAATCAAACAAACTGAGATTAAAAGAGTCTCCGCGTATCCAGCCGGATCTTATTTGATTCTTAAAGGATTCTTGACTCATCCCATTAGGATTGCTTCCAGTTATGATCGAAATACCAATAGAAATCCGTCAGGATTTCTTCGGCAAATTTATATAATTTTAAATATTAAAACATGAATCTAGAAACATGAAAATACAAAGTTCTAAATAAATAAATGTAAAAATTTAAATGCACACGTAAGTCAATTTAAATATTTTTTAAATATTAAAATATGAATCTAGAAACCTGAAAATAAATAAAGTTGTAAAAATTAAAAATTAAATAAATGCACAAATAATGTCATTTAATTTTTGAAATATTTCAATGATTCTAGAAACATGAAAATAGTTATATGTACTAAGTGCACAAATAGTATTTAAATAATTTCAAAATATTCAATTACGA